GGCAGTTCAGTTTGCAAGTCATTTTGTTAAATACAGAAATGGCAGAAATTTTCTAACTGTAAAGGTACAGGACAGCATATGAATATACTATCATTTGCATCCGCTGGCCTGAGGTCACTGCCATGCCACTCCATGTTACATTCAGCATCCCCTTATTCCACCTGTGGTCAGAGCCAGGGACATGATGAGAGATCATGTAATTACTTGTGTGCAATATCCACGTGAATACTAACAGATATTAATCAATCTTAATCAATCACATTTTGAATCTGGCAACTATTTTTTTAAAATAATCCTATTATAATAAACCCCATTCTGTTAGAATAAATAAAATAATAAATAATTATAATAAAATTACTTTAAGAATATATGCTCATTCTAATTTTATCTAATAGTTGCTGTCAAGTCTTTCAAATATTTTAGATTTAGAGATTACACTTTTACAAAATATTTATAAAACATTAGTCTTTAGATAGTTTTCCTCAAATACCTAAATAAATGGTAAAACTATGTACGTACAGTACTTTTAAACTATATTCAAACACTTTTAAATTACATTCAGCTGCTGTATCCATGCAAAACTGTTTCAAAACTTGTATATAAATGCAGTGCCATCTGTCATTCACTGACACCAAGTGACCTGGAGCTATGAACGATGCAGTACTAATGACAATTTTTTCCCAAGATCTTTGGCAAAATTCTCCTCACATTCACTTGGTAGTTTTGGCCCAGTAAGGACTACGGGTTCATCCCTAAGTCACAGTGATGCATCATGTTGCATCACAGCAATCCACAAGCTGGATGTGATAGGGAATGACATGGAATCCATCATTCCATCCCTAGACCCATTTTGCTATATTGCCTCTGAGATTTTTGAGCTCGCAGCCCCGAGGAATACGGTGATGTAACCTACACACCGCGCTATGCCAGATGCTGGGGGATGTTTGAGGGGCACACGACTAGCTCTAAATATTTCCAAGATAGTACCTTGGAGGTTACCGAGTGCACACCGATGCACGGAGCCTCAGCAGAGCCAGATAACCCTACCAGCATCATAAGTCAGGCTAAAGCCTGGTGGCCATGAAGAGGAAAGGTGGAAGAGGCCTTTATTCCCTTTTTAAGTACCTGCTCTCTTCTAACGCAGAGACACGATCCCACAAGAGCATATGAGCATGCAGAGCCCAGGCTTTCTCGCTTGCACTGGGGCTGGTGTCCTCGGAGTTGGTAAGAGGGGGGCAGGAGCCAGCGGCTGGGGGTGGGGTCCCCCACGACCCCCCTCCTGCCCCTCAGCCCAGGTCTCTCAAACAGCCACCAAGTTGGAAGGGACACTGCAAGGGGGAGTTCTCCTTACCTTTAGCTCCTGCATGGTGAATTCTTTGCCGTGCTCCTTGGCACTGTTTATTATGAAATCCAGAGCATCACTGTGATCTTCTGGGTTGTTTCTCTGCAGTTTTTCCTGTATAGCCTTCTCCATAAACTCATGTAGCATGTCCCGTGCTTTGATTCCCTGCGGGAGGCAGACACAGTTCAGGAGAGCCTTAGGAACCCGCCCCGCTCTCCAGAGAGACCGGGGGACCCCAAGTGTGGCAATCCTTAGTTCCAGGATCTGTAACAGCAAGAACTGTTTAATCTGTTGCCCAGGCCCAGAGCCTTGCAAGAGGCAGCAGTTTGGGGGGAACTGCTACAAATTTTGTTGCCTTGCTGTTGTGAATCAAATACGGCAAGTCCTAAGAAACTCTCTGAGAGGAAAAGGCAGCAGTAAACCCACGGTACCGAGACCAGAGGCATCTGCACTGAACAAACCCACCATCGTGTCAGGTCCAAAAGAAGCTTGCCCAAAGGGACAAGAAGAGGTAACTTAATAAAACTGACTCCAAGCAGCAAGGCACATCTGAGATGGGAACAAACAAGTGGCTACACCAGGGTATGAAGAAGAGAAGACTGAGAGGGGACCTCATCAACACATACAAATATCTTAAGGGTGGATGTCACGAGGACGGAGCCAGACTCTTCGCAGTGGTGCCTAGAGACAGGACAAGGGGCAGTGGGCACAAACTGAAACATAAGAGGTCTCAGTTGAATATGAGGAAAAACTTCTTTACTTTGAGGGTGACAGAGCTCTGGAACAGGCTGCCCAGGGGGGTTGTGGAGTCTCCTTCTCTGGAGATATTCCAAGCCCGCCTGGACGAAGTCCTGTGTAACATGCTCTAGGTGAATCTGCTTTAGCAGAAGGGTTGGACTAGATGATCTCTGGAGGTGCCTTCCAACCCTTGCCGTTCTGTGATTCTGTGATAGCAAACATTTAGGTAAGATCTGAGCAAGACAAGTGATCAGCAATCTCTTTGCAAAGTGGGATGGATAGAGTCACGGAGTGCGTGGCTCTGTATTAAGATGCCTCCTGCAAAAGCCAAGAAGGAACTGAGATTCAGGATGAAAAATGGCCATGACCAGATGTTGGGAAGAAGATACAAAGGCTGAGATTTGAGGTGGGGAGGATCGGACAAAGGAAGCAGGGCAAGGAGCAAGAAGAAGGACAAGGGGACCTAAATGTGAGTTGAAGAGGTTGGTCTGGGGCCAGCCAGGCTGTGGCTGACCTGAACAAGGGCCAGGAGGGATAAGATTGGGGGTGAAAGCTCACACTGGTGACAACCTGCAAAGGGAAACTGGACAGGGACAACAAGAGCTTTGAACTGGTGACAAGAAGAGCAGCAGGGAGGCTGGGGGAGAACTGGGACTGGCTGGGTAAGGTAATCCAGTGGGACAGAGCTCACACTGGAAATAAGAGATAGGGCAAGACCTGGCTAAAAGGGGCAGGAGACTTGAACTGCAGTAAGGGTGGAGAACCCAAAACTGGAGGAGGGAATGCAAACTGAAATGGGAGAGGAGGAGTGGGACACAGGACCGATACCTAGAACGGGAGTGTGGGGAGGCAGGCAAAGAGGGGCAGGGCAGCAGAGAGGAAACTGTGGGTTGAAAGAGGCGGAGGAGACTGTCCGTCTGCCGTGCTCCCCTCCAGGACCCCCCACTGTCTCTCTGCTGCTGGGGAACAAGGGATCAAGGACCATAAGAGGGTCTCAAGTCCTCGGCCTGCCCTTGAGGTGCACAGGGAGTGCTAATCTGCGGTGCACTGTGCCTTTGTGCTCATGCCCACAGACCCCTCTACTGTGGCCTGCGTGAGTCCAGGAGGGGTGAGATGGGACAGGACCAGACATGGAGGACTAACCAGAGCTAACAGAGGTGACATACGGGGCGAGGGAGCAGAGGAGCCCTGTGCTGTACAATGAGTTGGAGCCAGTGACCAGAGGTGCTGGAGGCCAACCAGGAGTAGGTGAGAAATGCAGAGAGAAGGGGAGACAGACGGCTGGGGTGGGCAAGACAGCAGGCCCTCAGACCTGGAACAGGGTGCTGCTGATGTCCTGGCCCATTGGAAGCGCCTTTGGCGGCCCTGGGGACAGGGGGTCTGTGCCGCCAGGGTCTGGGCCTCTGCCCCCAGGCAGAGGGAGCGGGGCGGGCGGCAGTACCTTGCGCAGCCCGCTGAAGGGTATGTTGAGGGGCAGGGAGAAGAGGTTCTCCACCAGCTGTTCAAAAGTTTTGGCCAGGTCCTTGAACTGCTTTTCCTCCAGGCGGAGCCCCAGCAGAATCCGAGCTGCAATGCGGAAAGTTAAGGTTTTAGCGGAGGAATAAACGGCGATGGAGCCCGGCTCCATGCACCAGCCCCGCAGCTCCCAGCTCACAACCTTCTGGATCCGCGGCAGGTAGCTCTCCAGGGCAGCGTGGCTGAACACTCTGGCCAGGATGGAGGAGGAGAAGGGGGGGGAACAGAAGCAGGTGGTTAAAGCAGGGGGGGGGGTCCCACGTGCCACCAAGGATGAAGCCTGGGCAGGAGATGCCGCCTGGGCTGTGTGCTGTGTCGGGGCGGCTGTGAGGCTCACCTTGCGGCGCTGGCGGTGCAGGTCACCAATGGAGCCGAGCAGGGTGTGGGAGCCCAGGATGATCTGGGTGCTCTGGGGCCACTGCGTGCTGACCAGCGTGTGCTCGCCCAGCAGGATCTTGCGGATGTTCTCAGCGCCCGTCACCCGCACCACCGGCCGACCCAGGAGGTGGGTCTTGAAGACGTTTCCATACCTCTCC